AGGTGGTGCACAAGTATGGCATATAGTAGCCACTAAATAAATATTCATTTATGACTGAATTAATTTCTTTGGAACTGTGGCATTGCCTCTCTTTTCTCATAATTCTTACTCTTATGGATTGAATTCTGTCATTCTCTCCAATTCATATGTTGAAGCCCTAACTCCCAGGACCTCAAAATGTGACCTTATTTGGAGACAGAGTCTTTATAGAGGTAATCATGTTAAGACAGGTTCATTAGTGTGGGCCTTAATCCAATCTAATTGGTTTTTTAGGAGACAGGTGCATGTCCGTGGAGAATGTCATATGAACATTGAGACATTTGATGCTGCCGTAAGCCAAAGAAGGCCAAAGATTGCCATCAAAGCCCTAGAAGCCAGGAGAAGCCTGGGACAGATACTCCCTCAGAGCTCTCAGAGGGAACCAGCCCTGTCCATTCCTTGATCTTGACTCCTAATTTACAGATCTCTGAGAAGCTATATTTCTGTGGTTGAAGACAACTTGTATATAGTATTTTTTATAGTCATCCAAGGAAACCGGTCCTCAGTAGAGACCAGAGTGGAGACCTATATGAAATTATCTCTGAAGCCCCTTTACCTTCCCTAAGTTTGTATCCCCCAGATCATATTCAGTCTCCTTTTCCTTTTTGCTGAATCCTGCCCATTCCTGGCTTCTTGGGCAATGATTTCTCTGGGTCTCCTTTCCAGTGGATGGCTCATAATATTCTCCTTTGAGGTCCCAGCAGGTCCTGAGGCCCCGGCTGGGGAGAAGAGAAATGTGGTGGGCCAGGCATCTCATGGGCTTTCCAGTCCTCTGCACATTTCCTGTTCCTGGAGTTGAACAGGTGACACATGCACAGATGCCCGGATGACAGCTGGAAATGGGAGCAGCCTGGGATGCCTCCCACAGGGGACAGCGTCATTATCACACCATGAGCCAGCTGAGAAGGAGCAGACGGTGAGTCCTGAGGGGGTCCTAACCTGAGCTTTATGCAAACTGGGAAATTCAATAGGTTGTACGACTTGTACTACATGAAGCTGCCATAAAGGATGGGTCTCTAGGGGTGGGCTTGGTTGCCATGGAGACAACAGGGTAAGGAGGGGTTAAGGAAGAACACAGCTGTTCATCTAACTGTGCATGAGCCCACTCCTTTTCCTAAAGTAGATCTTCTTCGAGGTCATCTCACTTATTTCTCTGCTGTCATCAGGCAGGATGGCAGCCATTTCAGGCCCCATTTTATTGCCAGGATTGGAAATCCTGCCACCCCCTGTAGCCATCACAGGCTGCTATGGAATCCTTCTCTTTTTACCCTTCTGGGAGGATCTTTCTAGCAAGTGGCTTATGTTTACTGCACAGAAAGTGCTTGCACTGAGGAGGGTACCCATTCTGCAGATAGGGGCTAGTGACAAGGAGCTATGTGTGAAACAGTATGAAGCTCATTGAATCTGATCATTGGCAGGTTTAAGAAAAAGATCTATGCCAGTGTGAGGGGATTAGCCAAGAGAGCTGAAGAAAAGAAAATGCATTGATTCCTCTTCAAGGTTACTTTTAACTAATGATTCATTTTTGCCAAAAATGCCATAGAAATGAGGCCTTGCCTTTATTGGGGGTATTCTATTGGGGGGCATATGAAATTGATTTTCTGCATCATGGGTAATGGAAACTTTGATCTCTTGCTCACCATGGGGTCTACCTGATTTCCTCATCATGAGGCTACTATTGTTCTGGTTGTAATTAATAAGCATCTTATGGGAGGATAGAGAGGATAGATTAAGACCATACAGATATCCTGTTTCTCTTCGGACTTTCATCCACTAATTTTAGCATCCATTGCCCATTCTTGCCTGAAGCAATTATTACTGTGAACTTTGCAAATGATGACTTTTTTTTTTTTGGTACCAGGGATTGAACCCAGGGTTGCTTAACTACTGAGCCACATCCAAGTCCTTTTGATTTTTTTATTTTGAGATAGGGTCTTTCTAAGTTGCTTAGGGCCCTCCCTGAGTTGCTGAGGCTGGCTTTGAATTTGTGATCTCCTGCCTTAGCCTCCCTAGCAGCTGGAAACATATGTGCACACCACCACACCCTGCTGCAAATGATGATTTTTTTTATTTCCATGTTTTTTCCATATTTATTAGTTGAGCTTAAAGAAGGGCACCCCTCTTACCATTTGTTTGTCAAATGTCAGTAAAGACCATGAATCCTTATTTTATTCTGTTGGTAAAGACCATGATTATCATTATTTCCCTGCTCAAATTGCTCCAAATTTGACCACTGAGATCCCCCACTTCAAGTTGGCTTTGAGGTCCTTTTAATATGCACCCTATTTTTTTCAGTACTTCTTGCCAAGAATAAAAGTAATAACCTGAATTTAATCATGATGAAGCATCAATCATATCCAAATCAAAGGACATTCTACAAAATAACCAGCCTGGATTCTTCAAGGACATGAAGGACAAAGAAAGACTTCAGATCAAATGACTAAGGAGACATGACAATGGGATGTCACACAGGCTCCGGGATTAGATCCCAGCTTAAATTCTGGCCCAGAAAAGAGAGATTATTGGAACAATTGACAAAGTGTTAATAAAGCATGCATATGAAGTGGTCTTATTGAACTAATGTTAATTTTATGATTTTGATAATTGTACTATGGTTATGTAAGATGTTAACTTGAAAAATCTGGATGAAGGGAATATGGAAGTTCTTTGTACTATTTTTATATCTTTTTATAAATTTAAAATTATTTCAAAAATAGAAAGTTAAACAAAATGACTTTTACAAGAAGAGGAGAGTCAGGTGGCGGGTAGGAGATACAGAACGAAGGAAAATATRACAGATAATAGTGAATAAATTGTTCTGGGCCTGGATTCTTTCTCCCACAAATCCTGTCCAGAGTGATGGGCCCTGAGTGGCTTGGAACACAGCATGGATTTGTCTCTTCCCAGAGATGCTTTTTTCATTTCTCAACAGCCTCAACATGAAAATCACCAACAGGAGTCTTAGGGCCTCCGACTCCTGCTGATATGTTCACTGGGAAAAATCAATTACAGCCTAATTACCTCAGGGGGTTAATTAGCCTCCTGTAACTTGGGTGTCCACTGTGAACAGGAGCAGCCTGTCAGTCCTCGGTCAGTGAGCAGGGGTGGCTGAGCCAGAGGCTCCCCCAGGGAACAGCCTGCCTCAGGGCTGGGAAGGGGCCCCAGCCAGTCTGGGAGAGGAGCAGACAGACAACTGACCCGGGGCAGTCACCAGGGCTGGCAGAGGTGTGGTGCCACTAATTTAAGCTCCTCTCCACCACAGGTGCTGACGGGGCTGAGATGACAACTGCAGCAGAAGGAAGAATTACAGACCCGTGCAAGTTCTCAGGCCAGCAGTTGCCGGAAATCACTGGAATCAGGGAGAAGGCACGGAGCCCTGAGCAGCTCAGGAAACTGACTCTCTGAGGGCAGAGACCAGGCACCACCAGCAGCCCCCGCAAACACTCTTCCAGTAGCATCAAGACACAGGGGCCAGTCAGCAGTCACGGTCACTGGCCACATCTGAGAGTAAAATGGGATCAAAGCAGCCCACTCTGTGAGGGGCAGTGTGTACATCACGTAACCCCTTCCTACTCAGATGGACAAGGCCCAAGATGCAGTATCTCCCTCAGTACAGCACCGCCATGTGGATGGGTTGCATCTGTGAGGTCTATACCAGCTAGGAAAGACTTRGATATTAGGGAAGTGAAAATACTTCCCTTTTTATTGTGTTCTTTTTTTTGGGGGGGGGGATTAATTTGTAGAGAATTTGTAAATGATTTTATAATTAAATCTGAATTCAAATATTGTCCTTGCCATTTTATTCACTGTGTGAACTTGAGCATGTCACTCAACTTCTCTGAGCCTCATTTTCTTCATCRGCACCACGGAGGTGAGAATACTTACCTTCTGATATTGTTGTAAGGGTTAAATAATTAAAAGCTAAGCCACATTGCTCCCTGTTCAAAGCATCTCTATATTAACATCATCCATTTAAACCCATCCTTGCGGTTTGCTTTTGTTTGTTTTTTAAACTGATCTGRATCTTTGAAATGCTCACAGGGGTGCTCCAGAAGGTTTTCAATTTTCAGTTGTAGGTAAGAACCAGAGCAGGTTTCTTTGGACAACAGGCAGGATGAGGCAGGAAAAGTACAGGGCATCAGCTCGGGGAAGATGGAGTCAAATAGCAGCCCCTCCCTTGCTTTTTTAAACCTGCAGACCACAGTGGTACCTGCCCAGGTCTTTGTTCCTAGTCACCATAAGGGAATGTGCAATTAGTTTCAAAGCACAAGTGACAGTCGTTGAATAGGGAGCTGTGAAGAGTGATGGGCACACAATGCAACTAAAGTTAAGCACAACTCTTCCTCTCCCAGGCCATTCAAAACCCGAGCAGCTGCATTTTCACTCCCATCATCTATTCATCTTCCTTTGCAATTTGCTATTTTGGAAACATCATCCCCCCCCTCCCTCCATATAATTAATTACCTATTTCTTCCCATTAAAATCACAAACAAATGGGGACCAACACTAAACCCTGGGAAATGGCGCAGTGGATAATGTAGTGCTTTTCTTTTTTTCTCCCATGTCCAACTTTGCAACTCTGARCTAATAGTAACTACTGAAATCAACATTTCTGCTGAGATGAGCTAAACCTGCTTTGTGAAATATTCACCCACCATGGAACCAATTTCTTGGCTGTACCTGGGTCAGCCAGCCTGGCYGGGGCTACTGGGCTGGCTCTGTGTCCCTTGTGGTATGCAGGTGCACACAGATTTGCATATACACACATGCATAGGCACAAGGACAGGCTCCATACTCTTGTCATTTATGTCTGGACATGGACCATCCAGACACTTGAGAGGCTGTCTATGTCCCCAAATTAAATAAACTCAAATCTGACAATTTATCTAAAAAGGCTCAATTTGTACCTTTCCCCCACAATCCTGGTTGTCTCCTCCTGCTCTGAAAACTTAGGGACTTACCTCRGTGATTTGGGGGTTGGAGCACTTAACGTTGTGGCTGGACCAGTCCAGCCAGGGACTGGAGGGGCTGGTACAATGCTGGTGGAGGGTGCATCTGCGCTCGCCGCTGCACCAGCCACACTCGAACTTGCGGTCGGCCTTGAGGCAGAGCCCACAGCTCTCCCGCTGGGCTGCACACTTGTAGAGGTGCACTGTAAAGAGAGGGGGGCTGTCAAGATGGGATGCCAGAGGCAGCTCACCGTGTACCCTCTTCTTGAAAGCACGACAGACACCATCCCTAACCGTGGATAACACCCCATCATCATTGCAAGAATAATGGATGGGAAATTAATAATAAATTGAACCTCTTAGTAGTCATTTAAAGGCACTACAGAAAATAATATTATTTCAGAGTTTCTGGCTCAAGATTGAATCAGATCAGGGCTTTAATTGTGGCTTCCTGACTTCCGAGCAATGTGACAAAGTATTTAACCTCCCTGAACCTCATTTATCTATCTCTAACACAGAGATAATCATTGTTTTTTGGGAGGTTTGAATGAGATGTTGTATAGTAAGCGCTTAGCGCAGTGCCTGTGACATAGCTGATGTTCTATACATGCTTATTATCTTTTCTTTGAGCTCAAACTGTATTCTTTTGCTGCTGTCTTTCCTAYTCACAGATGGCCCCTATTTTGAGAGGTAAGGGCTTATTTCCTCATTGCAGGTTAAAATGAAGCTCAAAGAGCAACGTAATGACTATTACAGCTTACTAAGCTTAGTGCCCCAAAYGGGAGTCCTGAGGCTCCAGTTGGCTCTGCTGCTAGTTGGACATCCAGAGGAATCTTACCTTGTATGCTGGAGATTGTGTGGATCTGGGACAGGAGTCAGCCTGAGCTTAAAGAAAGGCTGGGTAGCTGGGGAGGTATTGCTGGTAAGGAAAGTGGGTGACAGAGTCCTGTTGTCAGCCCCTGTGGATGGACAGCATGTCCCAGAGAGGACAAACTGGCTCCTTMACAGGTCACATGTGCCATCTACAAGCCCGTTTTCTTTGCTTTTTGTCTCCTACTGACCAGCCAGTTAGTGAAAATGTGCTGTGTGAGTCTGGGGCTTAGTTTTTTTTTTCCTGCTAGGGTTTTGAACTCAGAGTCCCAAAAGAATTCTATAAAACCAGAGCAAAGCTGACCCTCTGTATTCACCAGTTCTGTATTTGTGGATTCAACCAACCATGGATTGAAAATATTTTAAAAAATGCATCTGCACTGAACATGTACAGACTTTTTATCTGATTGTTATTCCTTAAACATAGTGTATAACAACTATGAATAGCACACATTTACATTGTATGAGGTATTAGAAGTAAGCTAGATATTGCTGAAAGCATATAGGGACATGCACAAATCATGTGCAAACACTGTGCCATTTTATAGAAGAGACCTGAGAGGCCCCAGACTTTGATCTCAGCAGGGGGTCCTGAAACCAATCCAATGTGGAGATTGAAGGATGACTATACTCAGTCATTTTTCAACCCTTCTGGTCAAGCAGACATTAGCTTTTAGGATGGGCACTATGCCTCTGCTGGAGGTCAGGTACATGCCCTGGGAGAGAGGTACTTTTTATTCTTTCCTAGGTTCTCCCCCCATTCCTCTGGTCTGCCCAGCATTCCCTGGTCCGGGCTCAAGGACTATGTAAACATCCTTATGTCTATGGCTCCTTAAGGTAGAGGGCAGGAAATGGGAGTCTTAAAAAACAAGTACACACTGAGCATTTATAAATATGGACCACATGCTCTCCAGCCATGAACTTATTGGATCCTCACGATGACCCTATGCCATGGGCATCCCTTTCTCCATGGCAGAGGCAAGGACACTGGGGTGCAGAAAGGAGCTGTAATTGGCCCAAGTTCACACTGCTGCAAGTTCAAGTGCCAGCAGTTGAACCTTGGTTTGTTGGATTCTAGAACCTTAGTCCTTAGACACTGTGGCCTTATCCCCCCAACACCTGGGTGTACAGTCACCCTGACACCCAGGGTTCCAGGTACAAAAGCAATCTCTGGGATCTAGGCCTAGCTCCTCAGTAAAGAAAGAGTCTCCTATCTCTTAGTGGTGAGAAAATTTTGGCCTGGGAATGAGGAAAAATAGTATAAAAAATTCTCCCAGAATCAAGTTGCTCTCTCGCAGTCCAAGGAACATTTATTTTAAAGGCAGCAAAGAGGCAAATCCCCAGATGCTGAAATACTTATAGACCACACTCTACTGTGTCCTCAGGTTCCTTCCCAGGGGGTGACTCTCAGATGAAAACAGAGCCTGTGACAGCTTCAACTGCTTGAACTGAAGTAAGATACATTTCTCGTGGTGGGGAAAGGGGTTCAAATCCCACAGACAGCCGAGCAGCCGGTCTTCACTGCGATGTGGGTAGCTTGTGCGTGAGTTCTGAAATTAAACTGGCTTGGTACAGATCCTGGCTCTTGCTATCTAACTTGGCCCTTTTCTTCACCTGTTTGGATCTCACTTTCCTCATCTACAAAATGGGAACAAAAATAGTACATGCCTTTTGGAGTTGTGATGATTAAGAGAAATAATGACAAACAAATCACTTAATAATGATTTTTCCACTGAATGCTCAGCAAACTGGAGAGACTTTTACCATCCTTGACAACGCAGCTAGAATTTGGTATCTGTCACATTAAAGGAGGGGCCACTCTTGGCCCAYGGAAAAAGCTCAACATATGTTTGTAGGTTGGTAAATGAAGGTGGCCCTCGTGCGGTACCCCCTCCTGCTCCAGTCCAGTCCCCTTCCTGAGCTTCTTTGGTCCAGATGTGGGCCTGGCTACACATGCTGGTCCCTCCCATCTGCCTCAGGACCAGGAGTGCAGCCTTAAAAACCTTCTTTGTGCGGTGACCGTAACCAGGGCCAAGGACAGAGAAACGAGAGCTGAGTGGAAACAATATCTCCATTTCCAGGGAAACTGGCGGGACGTTCCTGCCTGCTGTTCTCCTAGGTCAGGTTCCACAGACACTTCAAAGCCACCGGGAGCCAAAGAATAGCGTGGATGAGTTGGCAGCCGCCCGACGAATGCTCTGGTTGTAATAAAACAGGGCTCCCAACAGGACTCCTTTGATGGCTCCAAATGTTGCTTTAGGATCCTCTGAAGAGTTCCGCTGACAGAGGGAGTGTATTATTCAAGGCACAGCAGCCTGCTGGCTCTGATTCCTCCAGCCCCAGTCTTTCCCGGGGTCGTGAAAAGATCAAACCTCTACCCGGAAGTAGCTGCTTACCTTTCAAGTCCTGAGGGTTGTCAATGATGAAATTGCCATTCCACACGACGGCGAAGTCCACGGCCAGGTTGCTGATGTCCATCCCATCATACTGGTACTGGGGGGAGGGGGCAGAGGCACATGGCTCAAGAGGCTGTCTGTCATGAGGAGCCAGAGGCTCAGAGCTACCCTTCATCCTGCTCTAAGGAGCCCTAAAATGCCCTTTACCTGACTCCCCAATCATGAATGCCTCCAGGATCCCACCCCAAACTCCCAGCTGGGCATTCGGTGCCTTGCATAAGCTGATCCAAATGGACTTCTCCAATTTTCTTCTCTACTGCTTTCCTGCAGAAATCTTAGATCCACCTGTCTCCAAACACACCTGCCTAGCCCCCTCTCTGGGTCTTGGTTGAGTTTCTATCTCATAAGAAATGCCATCCTTTCCCCACAATCTCCATCCTTTAAACTCACCCTCATCATTCTCCCAGCCCAGCTCTGGTCCACCTTCCCCCGGCAACTTCTCCAATATCCCTGCCACCCCTCCCCAACCTCCCTGTCCCCTGGCATTGCTACTCTCCTCCAGGAACTGCTGTGCATCTTTTCACGCACAAGTCTAGTCTTTCTAGAAAGTCTGTGAATTCTTGGAGGTAAAGCCATCCCCTCTCACTACCCCCCAGAGAGGCGGAGCTTGGAATAGGGCTTGTGGTGACACTTGTGGACCAGCTGGCTGGCCAGGCCTGTGCTCGTCCTCTCTTTCTATACATGAGCCTTACTTTGGTCCATGGTCCACTAAGGAGAAGTGTCCAGAGCTTTCTGGACAGAGATCTCCTCTGCTCCCCCATGAAAGGTATCCAGCTATGGCTAACAGTCCACTTTCTCTCCTGCTAATCACACAAGGGACTTTGAGACCCTTCAGAAACAGCCCCTCTGGGTGGCCCAGCTCCCACCGCCACCTCTGAAGGAAACCTTTTGGCATCTCCTCTTGGGCTGCCCAGTCCTAGCCACTTAGCTCTAGAGGGCACGTCCCTGTCGGCCCTCTTGCCCCCGGCCCTTCCCGCTGCCTTCCTCCTTTGTTGAGTTCCATTTCTTTCTCATCCCACCTTCCCCTTGCGCTTGGCCGCCTTCCACCGATTACAAATTCTATCAAGCGCCTGTGACCCCGGAATCTGACAGCTCCCTGATAAGAGGCCCAGATTCTCTTTATCTCTCCCGGGCGAATTAGCTTCCCTCAACACCTTTGTCACGTCCCCATCTCCGAGCTGACCCCCCACAGTCAGACACAGGGAGTTGGCAGATAAAAAGATCTTCTCTGGGCTAGAATTATAATTAAACACCTCGGTGCTTTCTGTCCGCCATCCGGGGCTGGTTTAACCCTTGCGGATCTTGAAACGCGCTGCTTCCCCCTTCCTCTCCCCTCCCAACTCACTTCCTCTCCCCTCTTTTCTATTACCTTTGGGGTGATGCCCTCTGGTTTTGCATGTGGGCAAGGTGTGGGGGACAGGGTGGGGTGGAGCTGCTTCACGCTGGTTGGAGTTTCCACACAGGCAAAGGCAGGCTCTTTAAACTTCAGAAAGGGTACTGAGATCCCCCGCTTCTGTCCCCCATGAGGACAGTTCATTTCCTCTGACACCATTCATTTGATCTGCCCTGGCTGAGGGTCCAGGGTACCTGCACCTTCTTCTGTCCCCGGGGACATAGGGTCAGCTTGGGACCCTGGATGGTTCTAGAAGTTGGGAGCACCAGTCTGAGGGCTTGGCGCAGGTGGGAGAGAAAGTCCTGCTCCAGGCAGGGCCCCAGCTCGAGTCCTCTTACCGAACTATTCTGACACTGGACACTGGAGCTGTTGAAGCGCAGGGCAGGGACCCGGTGGATGGCCCCCTGGATGTTGAGAACACATTCGTAGCCTCGCTGGCCCGACTGAGGCTGGGGCAAGTTTCGAGCCTTAAGGGTGATGGGTTTCACCTCTCCGACCGGAATCAGAATCTCCTCCGTGGGCACCAGCTGGGGACAGTCCTGAAAGAGCAAGAAAAGGGGGTTCCATTTGTCCTCAGCTCATGCTTTCTTACTCACCTAAGGAAAGACAAGGTCAGAACCTGGAGGCTGAGAACCTGGTGAATCCAGGTGGGCTCCCCACGAGAAGGACATTACCTCACTTAAGAGGTGTGCGAGTCAGCAGGGAAAATGAGATCTCTCCTAGCTCCCGGGCTTTGATATTGTCATCACCATCCCACAAACTGTCCTGGGTCTGATGTGTGTGTTACAATTCAGGAATTAATTTGCAAGCACCAGTACGGCAAGCTGTGGATTTTATCTCCAGAGAAGCTGGATGAAAGAGCCTCTACGTGTCCCTGTCCCCAACTCCGGCACCCCACCTCTGGTTTCATCTGGTTCCCCAGCTCTGGCTCCTCTGCCCCTCACATGGTCAATGCCCGGGGCATCCTGTTATCAGCAGCTTCAGCTTCTCAGCTCCAGCTGAGCTGGGCTTTCCAGGAGGTGGATCAGGCTCTCCCAGCAATGCTCTAAATACTTGCTCTGGCTTTTTATCTTATTTCATTACCAAGCCCTGCATGAATGCCATGTTCCTTTAGAAAACAAAACCCAGACAAGAAAGTCATGGTAGGGAGGGGCTGTGGGAAGGACCATGAGAGAGAAGGTGAGAAAGAGATTGATTTTCTTCAGTTCTAAGTCTGGATGCTGCTTTGCTCTCTCAGAGGTCAAATGTCATCGCCTAACAGCTCTGATCTCCTCCTTCCCCCCACCCCAGGAAAGATCTGAGCCCAGTAGCCCCTGGCAATGAGGATGTAGAAACCTTCTCCATGAAGAATCATTTCCTATCTCCAGGGTTCAACTGGAGGAATTCTTGCAGGAGGCTCCACTTCCCTTGGATGTTTGTACCTGGGGAGAGCTTTTGAGAATGTTATGGGGGGGTCCCAATACTATAAGCCCTGCAGAGGAGGTGCTACTGGTACTAAATGACCMAGAATCAAGATTGCTAGATTTCCTGCAAGGTGTGGACAGTCTGAAATAGTAAGAGAGATAAGAGATTGTCCCTTTTGGGATGACAGAGGTGAGCCTCAATAAGAAGCCTAATATAACTCAGGTAACGTTAAGCAATGGCACAGCCTCGCTGGTCAGCCTGTTACTTATGGGGCAGATTTAGGCAGTCACTTCTTTTCTGTAGATCCCAGTTGCAGGCGTGACATGCCTGTTGGCCTCTTAACCCCACAATCTTGCATGCCATATTCTGACCATACAAAATGAACAGCTAGTTCTGATGTGCCATCTCCCTTGCTGGATTTTTTTTTTCTCCTGGACTTTTTTGAACATGCTTTTCTCTCTCCCAAACTCTAACACTCACTTACTGGGCTGTGAATTTCTTGAGGATTAGGTGGTGGTATATTCCAGCCCACATACCCATTTCTTCATTTCAGTGCCTGAAGTGTAATRGACACTGGTCACTGTTTGTGGGTGTGTGAATATAAAGAAGAAAATAAAGCAACGGATAAAAAGATCTTGAAGTTTCTTTATAGTTCCAACTTTTCACATTTGTTGGAGATGAGGGTAAAATTCTTCTTTCTAGACATTAAGACACTTGAAGAGAAGTTTGATTCCCAAGAACTGGGGTTGGAAACTGCCCTGGTTTCTGGAGTCTTCGATGATCTAACCAGCACGTCTGAATCTACTAAGGCATCTCGAGGAACCACGAAGAACTGGATCCAGGGGAAATTTCCCATGGGAATCTGCCTAGGAGGGCTTGGATGGACCTCCAGGATCACTGGTGCCATCCCTTGCCTGTCAGCCAACCACACGTGAGGACTCCAGGCAGGCAGAGTCTCCACGAGGGACAGGATCACACGGCAGTGCCAGAACAGATGGGCCCGTTCAGGAGCCAGTCACTCAGGCTGCCAACTCATAAACTTGCTCTTTACAGCACTTTTACTTTCATTCCCTGCGGGCACTCTTGACAGAGTCTTTCATATATTTATAGCCAAGGGAAAAAAAAAAAAGAATACCTCTTTAGGGAAGCCCAGGCATCTCAAGGAAAAGGAGATGCCATGTCCTGTTAGTGGCTAAAAATCAACATCAAATTTAATAAGTTAGACTCTTAATTTAGGATAGAAATAAAGCTGAGGTATAATGCTGTGTGTGTGTGTGTGTGTGTGTGTGTGTGTGTGTGTGTGGAGAGAGAGAGAGAGAGAGAGAGAGAGAGAATAGATTTTCAGATTCTGAACCTGTTGGTATACTGTAAAAGATGAGCAGTTTTTTTCTCATCTCTAATGAGCTCAGAGAACAAATTCAAATTTCAGTAGCAGGGTCCTAAAGATGTACTTTTGGAGCTGTGATGTCTCCAGTAAGTAAACAATATTGTAGAATCCTTTTAACTCTGATCTCTCTCTCTCTCTTCTCTCTCTCTCTCTCTCTCTCTCTCTCTCTCTCTCTCACACACACACACACACACACAAGAAAAAACAAAACAAATCAAAAACCCACAATGGGCCCTAGAGTCCATGGATTCTGCCAATTGAGGATCAAAAATATTTGAAAAGAAATCACATCTGTACTAAATATGTACAGACCTTTTTCTTGTCACCATTCCCTAAACAATACAGTATAACCACTATTCACACAGACTTGCATTGTATTGGTTATTATAAAGAACGTAGAGATGATTTAAAGTATTTGAGAGGATGTTCATAGGTTACATTCAAGTACCATGTAAAGGACTCAAGCCTTTGGCATTTTTGTATTGACAAAGGTCCTGGAACCAATCCCCCATGGATGATTGTCTCTCTCTCTTTCTCTCTCTCTCTCTCTCTCTCTCTCTCTCTCACACACACACACACACACACACACACACACACACCTTTTTGTCTGGGCTAAGTCCAGCTGGAGAAGCATGAGTAGAATTTATGAGTACTATTCTGAGTCTTTTAAAAAGAAATTCTAGAATTTTAGACACCCTCCCACAACCTGTGGCTTTAGGCCTTTTGCAACTAGACTTAGGAATAATGATTAGGGTCTTCCCAAATGTCCAAATCTGCTACAGGATTGCCCCCCACCCCATAGGTTAAAAAAAAAGCCATAGCTTTGTTTATTTGACTCTTGCTCTTAGGTTAAATGGAATAGGATGATTCTATCCCTTCTCTAGAGCAAAGGAAAGAAGTGATTGGAGTCCCAAGTACACTCTCTRCATCTTGGACAACAGATGAGATTCAGACCTTCTGGGTTGTGGATGGTTCTGGGGAGACTCAATGAACTGACAGTGTGACTTGGGTGGCAATGGCAGTACTGAGGCTGCAGGCAGGTGCAGGAGGGCCTGCACCTTGGAAAGTTGTCAAGTTGCTGGAACTTCAATACATCTGGAGTTTGAGGAAAATGATGGATATAATAAAGCCACTTCCAAACCATTTGCTTCTGTGTGTGTGTGTGCACACACACACCTCTCTCTCTCTCTCTCTCTCTCTCTCTCTCTCTCTCACACACACACACACACACACACACACACACACACAGAGTTTTTATCTTAAGGACAAAAAGGCAAATAATCATAAATGCTTTTTCTGCAGAATTTTAAGACTGTTATGAATATTCTTAAAATACTGATTGCTCCTGCCACTCCTCACAGTCTTCTGGGTGACATCTTCAGGTCATCCTATTCCTCCTCTGTCTGCAGGCCAGCTGGAGCCGAGTTGCCTCCTCAAGACAGCCAGCTTAGTTTAAGTCAAAATGAACAGACGTCCTGTTTGGGATGATCCTAGAGCTGGGCAGCAGGGGGTTGGGGACAGGGAAGAGGAAATACAACTGTAGGGAGGGCAGGAGGGCCAGGGCCTGGCGTAGAGCCCTGGGAGTCTTGGGGCCCTGTTGCCTCTTCTGTCTGGTTGTGCTCTACCAGGTTCCCGTGCTGGGGACCCGTTAGCCTTTCGAAACAACTTCTCCCATGTGGAAATGGCATTATCTTCACCCACTGGACTTCAAAGAGAGAGAGCAGCCGGCATCCTGGGAAGCTAATCGGATTTATTTGGTTCTATCTTTCCCCTGGGACGGGGCGTAAAGAAGATATTTATGTATCTACATCTCACTAGGCCTGGTTTAGCCATGGAGGAAGATGAGCTTTCAAAGCTGAAAGCCATACATACTCCTGTGCACTCCCGCTTGCTAACACCCTGTCATAGTCTGATCCGGCCCAGGGAGGTAGAGATTTGGGAGCCCCATCAGAAATCTGCTGGTCTCTGAGTGCTAGTAAAGTCTGGTTTGTTACCTTAAAAGGGCTCAAGGGATGGTTCAATTGAAATTCAGTTTCCTCAAATCTAAAATAGTGCCAATAATACCTGACAATCCTAGATTACATGAAAGAGGGATATGAAAGTATGGGGTAAGTGGTAATGAGCTGGATGAACACTCATTGTTAAATATTATTACTGCAAATCTCTCTCTCTCTCTCTCTCTCTCTCTCTCTCTCTGTGTGTGTGTGTATGTATGTGTGTATATATACGCAGAATCTGAGGACATCAACTTATTCAAGGCCAGCATGGACATTGGAATCCTTATGTCTGCATTTATTTGATGATAATAGGAAAATTATTGTACTTATCTAAGTTTCAGTTTATCTGTAATAGAATCTCCACCATACAGTAGTCAAGATTAAATAAGATTTATATATGTATATATATATATATGTGTGTGTGTGTGTGTGTGTGTGTGTGTGTGTATCTATCTATATATAGTGCTGCATATATAATAAGCACTCAATAGATGTCAACTTCTAAAACTTTCCTTTTTGAACTGTAGACTCTACAGCACAGCTGTTCTTCATCATCAGGCTTAAGCATGGAGTTGGCCCAGCAGTCCTCTGGAAAGATGTGGGCAAACCCACCTCATATGCTGGCTGTCCTTTTATCTGAAAGTGGCATGGCCAACCCATCTTCATGGGAAATTTCTCCATCTGTAGAGATGGATTTGTGCAGGTCCAGCCATACTCTCTGAACCCTCATGACCAACAGCAAGGGCCAGATTGAAGTCACACCTGCAAGGGTAGCTGTGGCCATGGAGACCAACACACTCAAGCCTGATTTTCTGCAGAAAACAAACTGTGCTACTTTTTTGGATGCCTGAGTTCTCCGTAGCCTTGGGCAAAAATCACTAAATTTTTGGCATCTTGGTTACTACAGATGTCAAATATGAATTATGTGAATCTGCAGGGTTGTTTCAGAATCAACTGAAACACCGTATGTCAGGGGTTCTCAATCTTTAGCCTCATTTGGGATGGGGTCCAAGAATTTGAATTTCTTACACATTTGTGGGTGATGTTGACGGAGCACACCCTGGTTGGCACACATTGAGAACTTCGGCCACATGTGCAAAAACTATAAATGTGAGATGCATTAAAGTTGCTACATTACTCAATGAAGCCAATCAGTTATATATTATCTCTAGGAAGTCGACAGACATAAAATTTTGATTCAAAGTTTAGGTCAGGGGCTTACTAGAAGGATAAAAGAGATATTCTAGGAACCCCAAAAAGACACCTAAGAGATTTCCAGTCTCAAAACAACATAAACACACAGATGGCACTCCTCATAGAGCCAGGAAAACCTTACCCAAGCTGGCCATGGGTGTTTTTGCTGTTCTTCAAATTTTCAGGAATAGGGGTCCCCTAAAATGGAACTTTGGTTCGAATAGAGCAGGGCCTCAGAGCTATTTTCTGGGCAGGGGGGTGTGATAGGTTGTGGCTGAGAGCTAAAGTAGTATTTTCAGAAGCCAAGGAAGTGACCCTGTAACCTTGCAGGCTAGCTGCACCCTATTTGGGAGCTGGATAGAGTCTGGGTTTTCATCACAGCCCTCCAGAGAGTTACTCCCTGGGCCTGCCTGGGGCCACAAACCTGAGGCTAAGAGAGCAGGCGACCACCCAGCCCCGCTCAGGCTGATGGGGGGGAGGCAAGGGTATGGCTCTTCTTGAGGCTGAAAGGAGATAGGAAGTCTCTGGATTGGGCCTCAGGGTTCTTTTAGTATTAACTTAATACCGAGTTGCAGAGAGGCAACAGCTTTTTTCCAACCCGCTCTCTGGAATGTCCAGGCCTCTCATCTGTGGCTGACAGGGAGCTGTGTTTCAGTGGCTTCTACACAGTGTGAAGGAGGCCCGGCCTGCTTCCAATTAGCCTTCTGGGGCTCAGCCCTCGGGCCTCTACGTACATCCCGGCTGAGTTTATTTGTCTTGCTCCATGTGACACCCTGCCTGCCCTCACTCCAGCTGCAGGTCGAGATCAGGCTTGGCTTTGGGTTTCTTTCTGCCTGAGGGGGCGGCCCCAGTAGAAAGTGGGGCAGCTGCTCCTTCTTGTCTAAATCTCTCCTTCACCCTCTTTCTGGGTTCTGAGTTCCTCCTCCTCCTATTTAATTAAGTAACTTAGAAGTTTTGAGTGGCCAAAGGCCAGTTTCTAAGACCAATGACCTCCCATCTTCTACTGCCCAACCTGCACCTCTGACCAGGCCCTCTGCAACTTGTTTTCTTCAGTTATTCTTCTATGGGCTCCCTAGCTGCACCCACCACCCCATACCTTCAGCTCTCAGGCCCTTTTCTCTGAGTAAGAAGGCTGGTTCAGACCTCTGCAAAGTTCCAGGGCTGTGATTAATTTCCAGTGTTCACTAAGACCAGTGTCGTGATTTCAGGCCAGCTGCATCCCAGCACACMAACTGGCAAGGGAAATCCTTTTTGGATCATTCCCAGGGTAACTATGTGCCTGATTCTATCCTTTGGAGGCAACTGTGGACGGGTCTGCCTTCAATGTTCCCATTAGGGACCATCTATGTCTGTCCCTTTTAAGATAGACAAATTCCATTTTTTTCCTGACTGAATATAACACATGTTGTTTCAGAAACTAAAAAGAGCTCAAGGCCATGGGTGCGTGTCTCAGAAACCTTTCAAGGTCTACTTTCTTATGTTTACTCATGAAAGCTACCGGCACAGCTGTTGAGATGAGGAGATACAAGAGACCCCGTTTCTGGAAGTCTTAGACAAGCAGACCCAATGTTCATCAATGGGACTTGGGTACAGAAGTGACTAGTTTATCCATGTGTTCCACACACTCATTCTACTCATATTCACTTAAGAAGATACTAAGGATATAAAGATAAGCTGTGATCCTTGCCTTTAAGGAGACTGTAGTCTACTGGAGAAAAATATCTGTGCAGAAAGGTTCAGTAATAGATGAAAATGTACACTGTCACCTATAAATAGTTGCGGAATTCTAAATGGTAGAACAAGAGAGAAACTTGTGTATATGCACTTGGGCATATATATGAATACATAAGGTCTCTATAGTTCTTCAAACTCAACTGGTCACCCATGGCTAAAAGTACCARAAAGGGAAATTGACCCAGTAGCCTTCATCATCCTGAGGTATGCTGGGGACATATAAGAAAGAGTCAACATCAATGAGTAATCATGAAATGGAATAGTCACTGGAAGATAAGCAGTGTGATATTTCACTGTGTTGATAAGAGAGATGGATCAGCCTTTAGAGATGGAGCTTCAGCTACATAATGAGATTGGACTTTTAGCAATGCCTGGTTCTTTCACCAGTTGAATTTTCTTCTCTTTCTATAAGGCCACCCACCCACCCAGACACACATCAAAGAATCATTGAATTTGAGAGTTGGATGAGAAGTTGGCATGAAAGAATGGTTGAGAGTGAATGTTCTATTGAACTCAGTTATGTCTACAGCCAAGCAAATGGCCAGACTCAAAGAATACATGCCATTCACTACCCTCTTCCAGATCACAGAGTCTGTTGGGTTGGATATGTTTCCTCTAAGCTTCTAAACTCAACCCCTGAATGCAGAGTTTGAGGAATCCTCTTGTTATGGCCTTTGCCTCTGGGGTCATTTGCTGACAGTTTCTCGAGCTTTATAACAACATGGCTTTTAAGCATGCAGAAGGACCACATCTAATCAAAGGACCAAATTGGGCCAGCACAAGAGATGATCAAGCCATCGGATTGACCATCTGAAAAGGAAGGGGCTATTCAGATTCTTTGGCACATCGCCATGCCAGGGTGAGCCTTTTTACCTCTGAAATGTTGATCCGGCCCTCTTGGAAGGAGCAGGTCGTGGGGTCATGAGTGCAGAGGTTGCGGTACTTGCACCAATGGCAGCGGAAGGCGCTGTTGACACAGGACAGGCACCTGCAAGGATGGAGACAAGAGGACAAGCCAGGGAGCCACAGGTCATGATAGAAGTCTGTTATCTTATATTTCAATTCTAGTTTTACTCTCAGGAGGGCAGATAACTGGAGCGTCCTCTAGTACCGAGAACTACGGATTCTTGAGCCAGGATGTTCATGAGACCAGAAAGAAACCAGGACTGGAGTAGAAATAATGCACTTAGAATGCAGCAGTGGGCTGTACCTTCCCCGGAGCGCATGTGAGAGCTACAAATATTTATAGGTGACAGTGTACATTTTCATATATTGCTAAACCTGGGGATGTGGTTCAGTGGGTAAGTTCCCCTCGGTTCAATCTCTGGTACACCCCCCAAAAAAGAGTAAATGTTACCAAACTAGTTTTTCTTTCTTTTTTTTTTTTTGTCCCATGATTGCTGGTAGTTAAACCTTTACCAAGATACCATTGTTTGTAAGACTGAGTAAAAAGAGCATAGAGGTAGAAATTGGACAGGTCTGATTATAGTTTTGCTTCTGCTGTTGCCACTGGGGTCACCCTAAGTAAGTCACTTAACTTTCTGAATTGGAGTTCCTTTATCTATCTGTAACAAAACATTCCCATCTACTCCACAGGGCTGTTTGGTAATCAAATAAGATAATGTACAGAAAATGGTTTTGAAAAGTACGATGCTAAATATGTTATTTTCAAGTGCTTAAATCACCTGTTATTTCAACCTCTTAAATAACATTTGAGAATCAACAATTGGTTCATAGCACCTCTGTTACMGGGCTCGGGGGAGTTAACAGGATTAAATGGTAAATTTGTCTCATACTCCTAATAATCCAGGGAGGAAGCATCAGAATAGGTGCATGACACACACCTTTCTTGCCAGAGTGAGCATTTATTTCCCCCTGATTTCATCTGGAGGCTGTGTATATTACTTTGTCTCTGTTTGTGTGATCAGACCATTATAATAGACATGCGTTTTCTAGAGGGGGATGGTCTTCCAAGCTCTCCTACTCTTGTTTTTCATAACTAGACTAATCTGGCTTGGACAGGACCAAGTCTGCAATCTGGCGCCACCTGGTGGGAGTCTGGGTACAACTGGGTGATTGGGCATCCATTGAGAGGTCGTGGGTTAATAGGCTCCAGTGTGTTAGGGGCATTCGCTTATCTAACTTCATCTTCCCCATGCTGATTATTTTTATTCTTTTATGTTTATGTCCAAAGTTATTTAGTTTCTGAGCTTAGGCCAATGCTATTTTGTGTACTCCCTGATTGATTGGTTTTTGATAATATCTTGCGATTCAGCAAGTAAATAACGAAAACAGACCAAGGACCAAAGGATGATGGTATCTATTTGGACTGTAGACCTGGATCTTCCACTGGCTAATAGTGTGACCATCATTGTATTCTCTGTGGGCCTCAGTTTACCATATTAAAAGGAAAGAAGTAAATTTGATTCTGTGACTTTGACCTGTGAATGACAGAGGTAGAGTGGGGCAAGATAGATAATATTTGGCAATAAAATCTTTGCTGTCAAGAAGATCTGTTTTTTTTTTTCCCCTGCTAAAATTTGCTGCCTGTGACAGCATCTTTGTTGCCATAGCAATCCATCATTGAAAGTGGTGACATCACACTAGATTGCCATGGAGATGAGGGTGCTCTCACAAACAATGGATTCTGTTACCACTSTGTTGTTTGTGAAGGAAGTTGAGAGGTTCTCTCTCCATGATGCTTGCATCTCCAAGGCGGACTTAGATGGGGTTGGAATGCAGTGGTTAGCGGGCTCTTGGGTCCTAATTTTAGCTTGCACCACTGTCTGCCCTACCCTGGTTCCTGCCTGCCATTTTTACCTCTTGTTCTTTCTTTTTCAGGGTTATCTATTGAGTCATCCCAATGGGGTTCAGATATGTCTCCTTTCCTGACTACTGAAAAGATGCTAGGACTCTAGAAAATTATTCTAATCATGAAAATCAAGATCAGAAAAGGGGAGACGAGGGAGGACTAGCTCATTTATCTATTTTATGGCTAAAGATTCTTTTAAGGCTTATCTGCAAACAGATCCTTTCCCCACCTTGATTGCTGAGCCCTTTGTGCCCACAACTTGAATCCTACGGACTCAGTGACCCTGGAATTATGTCTATTATATAGATCTCAGTGGTTCCTATTCTAGAAAATGGGAGGAATAACTCCATAAAAACTTCCAATTACTAGTGCCTTTGGCATGTTGATGGGCTTCACATCTTTCCCCTTGTTATTAGTCTTATGACAATCGACAATCATGTGGCCCTATTATAGAACCACATGTAGTTCCCTTTCTCTAAACTAAATAGTCTCAAAATGTCCAGCTTATGTGGGAATCTTCTGTGCTTTGGTTCTTCTTCCAGAGAAAATCAGAAGAAACCAAGCGTAGGTCTCTCTCTCTCCTGCACTCGTGACCTTGCTTTTTCTTGTGCAATACTCCCAGCTGCCTAAACAGTTGTGGGATCTCCTAGCTGGAAGGCACCAGTTGGTAGGCATTCAGCTGCTGGAGGGGGCTGGTGAGGTCAGGCTGTTGAGGCTCTGGAGATTGGTGTTTTGGTCTGTCTGGCTTCCCCGCCTTTTTTTTTTTTTTTTTTTAAGTTAAAGGATGAGTTTGGGACATGGTGGGCTTAAAGCCTCCACTGTTCCTACCTAGTCCAGCTCCTTCCTCTGTGTGCTGAGAGAGGCTGCTTCCCCCTTGCCCTGACCTCCTTTGTGGGTGCCTGAGTGCAGAGCTGAGTCCCCTTGCTCTGAGTCCCTCTTCATTTGCTTTTGGGGGACATGTCCAAACTCCATTCACTGTCAATCTCTATTTAGGAAACCAATGCAGTTGGCTTCAAGAAAGGACCTTTTCTTAAGGTTCTTGGGTCAAGGCTCTCTTTTTACCATTTTTAACTTTTTAACTTGAGGGTGGTATGGGGGAGAGTATGCTGGGATGGGGGCCAAGGAACACGGATTGAGATCAGGGATGGTGGAGTGTCACCAGACAGCATCCTCTGTCCAAGCCATATTCCAGACCCCCGAGGGATGCTGTGAAGTGACTACTATACAATTCCTGTCCTACAGGAGCTTAGAACCAAGGAAGGGAAACCCCATACCCATATCTAGACCAAAGGCCAGACTCCTCCTGAGAAGTGCTTACAGTTGGTGGGCGCTGCAGTTGTAAAACTTGAACTCGGTGCTGACAAATATCTTCCCCGTCTCCTTGGACCTCAGCTGTAGCTCCAGCCCAAACCAGTCTGGGGAAAAAGAAAAGAATGGGGTGTAGTGAAAACCTGGGGACCTGATGGACAGCCTGAGAGAGAGAGCAAATTGTTCAGCCCTCCAAGGGCTTTCTGAGAGTGCAGATGGTAGACGGAATGAACCTGCCTGTACCTTCTCCTGAGAGAATCCCTTTGGCTAGTTACCAGTCCATTCCTCAGACCCAGACCCAGGAGGGGAGTAGCAGAGTTCACAGAGCCCCTTGCCTTGGTTAAGCATGTTCAGTTACTGAARTAATTTTAGAAATATTAGGCCAGAACCCCTCAAGCGTCCAGTTCTATAGAGATAACCCACTAAAAACCATTGACTGAAGCCACCCCCATTCCCAAAAGGGACAGGCAGTCTGCAGACTGTGCACAGAGTTAATCCATGTGRGAGCAAGCATTTTCTATCTTCCTGAATTTTGCTTGGGGACATGACAGTTTGCTTTCAAATTCAAACAAGTTGAATAAGACAATATTAGCATCTGGTATTTGAAGACTCAGTCAGACCACGACTTGTGACCCTCATCTCCGCCATGGTAGAATAGAACAGCCCCCCCAACACACACACACACATGTAGCTCTCCCAACAGACACTTCTTACCTTGATCCACAGGGATGACAGGGACATCTTTGGGCCCAGGGGAGACACAGATGACCTGGCTCCCGGACACCTGCCCCTCTACCTCCGTCAGGTTCCCAAAGGCACAGGCGATACCAGCGGAGAGATCAGGAGCATCACTCACAACCAGGCTGAGCTGTGGGAGGAACAAAGAGCTCAGAAGACGGGCTGCAAGCTCAGCCCTGCAGGGACCTATTGCTCCCCTTACCTCATCTCTAAAAGAAGGGCATTGGTCTAGGTGACCTTCCAGGTCTGTCACAGAACAACTACAGAAATGAATTGCTCATTGGTGTGTAGGATCTTTATTAATATTATTATTAATTGATTTTTTTCAATCTTATCGAGCATCAGAAAACACAGGGGTTTAGGGCCATTAGAGGGAAAGGCACCAAAATCCATCCCAGACCCTGATCAATTGGACAAGGAAATTAATTGCAAGACTCCATGGGACCTTGGAAGCGTGTCCTGAGCTGAAGTCTTCATCTACCAGGCCTTAATCTGGGCCCCTGGTAGAGTAGGTACGGCCAGTCTCGTGGTCTGCTAGGAGTGCACTAACTGGGGGGTTACAGCCGCTCTCCAACCTGGCTCTTACTCATTCAAAGGCTGCTTATCAGGCTGTGGGATTCCTAGAGTTTCTGCTCCTCTGTTCCTTCCCAGCCCTCTGCTCTTTGGTAGGTCCTGGAGTGGGGCAGGAAGTTCACAAGGAGCTCAGAGGACCCCAGAAGGGAGGCCACCAACAGCTTCATGGTGTCTGGGACCTAGGGGTTTCAATCATTTAGCCAGTGGTTTCCAGCCTTGTCAAGTTTGAGGACCCTCCTTTTAGTGGTAAAAATATCATAGATGTTCAGAAGAATTTCTTAATAGAAAATGAGAAAATGCTGCTCTCAGTTCAGGGCACTTCTCGATGAGTTTGTGCTCAGCGACAGTATATGTGCTCACCATGCTTGAATAGGTAAGAAGTGGCACTGGCTCCCAGGGTTCATGGTGAAAATACCCCTGTGGGGCTGCCTTCAAGTGGAGGGCCACAGGACAGGCCAGCTTCCCTTGGTCTCCCTACTAACACCTGGCAGCCGCTTCTCTAGTCACTATGGCTGTCCCCTGGCCTTGCCATGTGTCTGTGGGCCAGTGAATCTCTGCCCCAGTTTCATTTCCATGGGGCAAGAGACTTAGGTACAAACCCCTCTGCTGGTTCTCTTAGCTCCCTTGGAGCCTACACCTCCTGGTAGGGATGAATGAATCCAAATCTTGGAAGGCTCATTAACTAATTAACATTTGTGAATGCTCATAAAGATCTGCAGGATGAAAAAGCAGTCAAGGCTTGAGGACATGAACTATTTTGGGTTGTAACTTGGCAGGTGGTTCAGGGCTCTTCTATTCTTTTGAATACTCTCTTTAAGCACACACTGACTTCACATTGAGTCTTGGTCTCTGTCTTATCACCACCCTCACACCCCTCAACACAAAGGCAACTTGCAGATTTCTTGAGAGAGTGAAATACTGTCAACACAGCCCACACTAAAGAATGTGCCCTTTGGTATTGGATTGGTATTGTCACAGACGTTTGCCACTACACGMAAAATTTAGATTTACAAAAGAGATCAATGGGCAATAAATTTTCAGGGAAGATGACCCTTTACAATAAGAGTTACCCCTAGGTTTTCTGAAAAGTTTTTTCTCAGACATTTCAGGTGGGATCGATATTCAGATACTTGTGCAAGCCTTAAAGGAGCCCACCCACAAAGATGCGTGCCCCCCACCCTTCCTCCCTCTGCCTCCCTGCTAAGATACCTACCAGCCGGCTGTGCTCAGACACGGAGATGCTACTTGGATGTACTGCGAGGCTCATGCACCGGCTGATGCTGGCAGCAAATCGATTTGGTTCCCAGGCCCGCTGGCACTTGTCCCTGCGGGAGCACCTGACACAGACACAGATTCACAAGAGGTCAGGCCTCTRGGACCCTTGTGTTTGATGCCATTGTCCCCTGGTGAGAGGGGTTTGCTGCCCAGAGACTGGTGGCTTATCTGCTCCTGGTGACTTTCACTGTACTTCAGAGGACTTTAGTGACTTCCAGATGGTATTTATGGCATGCAGCTAAGGACAGACTAAGGGGAAGGAGCATTAATTCTCAATACAAGGGACACCATTTAGATATTTTTAAAAATCCCTTACCAGGACCATAGGAATGAGAGAGGGAGGGAAGTTTGGGGGAACTTAAGAAGTAGCTTAGCAATGGGCTATGAACTTGAACTCTGGAGCCAAGATTATGGGTCCTAACCCCAGACCTATTACCCTATAGCTGTGGCTCCTTGGGCAAGTGACTGATTCACTCTGTTCTAAGTTTCCTCAACTGTAAAAGGGTAAGAGTGGCAATACCTCATAGGGCTGGTGGAAGGATTAATAAGATAACGCTTAGAATATAGCTTGACACTTAGGAGCCATGTCAGGGTCAGTGCTTGTAATACCAATATTACTGATGATGATGATTAATATCATTATTCACCTCCAGAAGAATTTAGAAAATGAGACTGGGCCTAAGCTGTGTGGGACAATGTGCATATGATCCTGTGTGTGTGGATTGATGGCTCTTTAAATGGAGAGGTCATGTTTTATTCATTGAGATGTTCTACCTGTCACAGGGTATATTTTAAATAAATGTTTGTGTCCTGAAATAATGCCTCGAGACAGAGAGGCAGCAAGGAGCTGTGGCCAGGGTTGCCTCTGTCAGAAAGCTTGTGTGGCTATTTCTCTGGACATCTTCATCTTGGGCTCCAGGCTCCTCTGCCCACAGTAGCAGGTGGACGCAGTGATGCTCACAAGCAGGAGCTTCAGGCTGCCACCTGCTGTGTCCCATGGGGACACACTCCAGGGCTTGGTGTTGCTCCAAACCAAATAGCTCAGGGACACGACAAGATTCCAGGATCAAGCTGTGATTCCCACCCCAAATCCCCCCAAGCTCCTCCCCCTCTTCCTTTCCAGGCACATAATGGATCTAAATATGAATGCTGTCAAAGAAAAGAATTATTGAGGTTTAAGTGAATCCTTAAGATAGCTCTAAAGTGAGCTCTTGACTGGAGCCTTTATCTCATTGACTCACTGAAATGGCTCTTTTTTATCATACTATTTATGGCAACAGCCCTAACAGAGATAAATAGCCTGGGAGACAATAACACACTTGCAAGAGCAAGGCATACAGAAGAGACAGGAGGGTTTCCAATCCCCCTGGGCCCAGAGGCTCTTTAGCAATCTCCCTCAGCCCTCTGGCTCCATTAAAGAAGCCGGCCTGTGAGCCTGGGAGGTGGGGTCCTGTCTTTTCATCGTCTGGGCAGGCAAGAGAGTATTGCAGAAGGGTCTGTAAACATGAGAATGACCAGGTCATTCTCGACGTGTTCTTGGCAGGTGGAATTCTGGGTGTCCCGTAAGTAGGATTCTCTGAGGACAGGTAAGAAGTTYAGGGAGCAGAGGAAACTGTCCTAATGAGGCTCAGTCATTCAAGGAGACACAACTGTCGTGTACCAGGAGGATAATGGCGTGACATGGGGCAGCTGGAAGACTTGGGCATTGTTGACCCAACCATGGGTGGTGGTACAAGTTGGGGAAAGCAGATGTGCTTGCTGTTGACTAAATGAGCATCTCCGATCTATAATTCTGCATGATGTTCTACATGTGAGAAGTGTCAGAGGCAGGTTGGGAAGGGGCCAGGAGTTGGAGATACAGCTGGTCATGGCCCCTGCAGAGCCACGGGGCATGTAGCCCAGAGCTGCAGGTAGACTGTACTACTGTCTCCTTCCTTCCTTCCTTCCTTCCTTCCTTCCTTCCTTCCTTCCTTCCTTCCTTCCTCCCTCCCTCCCTCCCTTATTTCTATAGCACTGGGGATTAAAACCTGGGCCTCGCACATGGCTAGGCAAGTACTCTAACTGGGAGTTCATTTTGTAGCAGGGTCTCATTAAGCTGCCCAGGCTGGCCTTGAACTTGTAATCCTCCTGCCTTAGCCTCTCAAGTAACTGGAATTACAGACATGTGCCACTGCACCCAGCTTTGTTAGGTTCATCAGAGAAACACATTCTCTTCCAGAGAGACCCTGCTGAAGGGAGCCCAAATTTACTCCCTTTGCCAGTCCTGGGGTGCAGATTGGGTGGCCTCGGCATCTTTACCATATGTCTGATCTACCTGGAGACTAGCTGTCTGGGTTTTGCTAAGAGTATTTTTACAAAACTTTCTGTGGCATCTTGTCCCTCCAAAACCCAAGTAGGGAACCCAGTGTTCATGGAAACAAATCCAGTCCAGATTTTGCATCTGTGAAGCGCCAGCCTCTCTCCCTCCCTCCCAGCTCTCCCAACACCTGCTGCAGAGGCTGCAAGCCAAGAGCTATTGTCCAGGACCCTGAACTCTGGCCCTCCGCCTCCGCCTCCACCCCAAACCCAGCACATTTCATGGAGATGCTTCGCTGGCTGGCCCTGAGCCATGGAGTTTCCAGCTCCATTGGGCAACAGAATTCCTAGCCAGCTCCCGCCTTTCGGGTTTTCACCCTTTTCTCTCCCTCTGGGGCTCTTCGAATTAGGAAGTTTAAGTGTGATTTTGCATTTCTATTGAGCTGGTATTCAATGGCGGGGATGTATCTGAATAGGGATAAGAGGCCAGTTGGAGTGAGATGCGGACTTCTTGGAATCATGAAATAATGAGGCCAGAAGGGTCCTCCCAAGGGTAAAGCATCCATAATAGTTATTTTGATTTGTGTAGCCTCTCCTGGGCTTCCTTATTTCCAAAGCACTTATTATTTCATTTAGTTGTAACAATTCACCTGTGAAACAGGCATTTTTCCTATTTAGCAACAGGGAAATGGAGGCCTAGAGTTGTCAGAGGACCCATCCAGGGTCACATGGCAGCTAGCTGGAGAGCAAACGTCCCAACTCCAGTGCGGCAACTTTGGCATGTCCTGCAAGCCCTAAGGCCTGGAGATTATTCCACAACTTCCCTGTGAGTTCTCTAATGATACAAGGATACCACCACATCACTCCAACATGGCCGAGAGGGCAAGACAGAGAGGCAAATGCACTACACACAGATAGAAGTCCCCTCTCCCTGCCTCCCACCTCTGCATTCACCTTTAGAATTACTCCTCATAAGAGGGAAATTCCTCCTTTCTGCAAATTGCTGACCCATACCATCATTCTAGGAAACCCCCCTATCTTCTGCATGCCAGCTCCTCTTCCAGAACATTCCCAACTTACATGTTGTGCAGAGTGCACCAGCCACAGTGAGGATCCCCGGAGCTCAGGCACTCCCCACAAGTTGTGTACTGTTCACATGACTCCACAGGGACCCTGGTGACCTGGTGGGGAGAGGAAAGGGAGCACAGGGAGGTCAGGTTGTGACAATTTGAGAATTGTGTTCAGACTCACCTATATCCAGGCACTCTGCCCTAACATGTCCCATAAGAAGGTGACACTGGTGGCAAATCAGTGACCTTGATGTTTTCATGTCTTTTCTGGCTAGGTCAGGTAGAGCTAAGCAGAATGCGTGGCAGTCCCAAGATTTCTTGACTTTGCTAGAGGTAAAAGAAAACTCCCCAACCTATTGCTGCCTGCCTCCGACATCCTCCCTAGAGCTGGGCAAACACGGGCAAGTGCTAAAAATGGTTAACTCTGCTGAAAGGCTATTGAGTGGCACAAACTCATCTCTGAAGAGCTTTCAGCTGGGCTTGGGCTGAGACATCCTGCCTGCACAGAACACATTTTAAAAGGGAGAGAAGGAGAAACTTTTCCCATCAAATAATATTCATAGTATGGCACAGGCTCTTTACAGCCAACCAAACATACCACCTGGATCCAATTATCCCATTCTCTGATGGCTGCATTCAGTTTCCCTAGTAAATCTCCCATCCTTTCAAAAGTCTGGCTAAATGGGAACCTCCACAGAGAAGAGCTGCTTGTCTGATTCTGTCTTGCCTGGAAAGTGGGGATTTGCAGATCGATCAAGTCCCTGCCCCCAGAAAGGACAGCCCTTAGAAACTCCTCCTGGCTTTCTGGTGAGGCCCTGTAGGGATGTGAGCTGGACATCACTTTCTCCCACCTGTTTAACATGTGTGTAAAGATCAGGCAATGGGTCAGGGGACTGAAGTCTTCCATTTGATGTGTCCTAGGTTTCTGTTGCTGGCTGGGGCAGAAGGCTGTTGGGCTGCAAAAACATTAGTTGGACTGACAATGGGTTCTCATTTGCTAGGGCATAGAGGTCCCCCACCAACTGGATGTGTAAGCTCAGGTGAAAATAAACTGTGGTCCAGCTTTTGGCAGCAGGATGAAGGCTATGATGAAGATAATTTCACAGCATCATCCTCTTGGGAAGTTCAGGATGGACCCCAACACTATTCATTCAGCTAAGGTTTCTCAGATGTCCACTCTGGTGCTAAGCAATAAAGAAACCACAGCAAACTACATGCAGATTCTGCCCTCGTGGAGCTCCACAGTCAGGGGGACTTGGTAATTACCAAATGAGAGTTGCTTCACATTGTGCCGAGTGTTTGTAATACAGGATGGGTTTGATTGCAGGGGACCTTGGGAGCTTAGAGTAGTAGGGTCACTGAGGACAACCTGTCAGGAGGAAGAGACCAGGGGGTGGAAGGGTGAGTCTTGAAGTATAAGAATGAGCCAGATGCAGGGACTTGGAAGTCCAATTCAGCAGAGGGATCATAATGAGCAAAGGAGGCAGAGACAAGTTCAGTGTAACTGAATGGAAGGTGTCCACTGGGTGGGCAGAGACCAGCCTGCCTTTACTCTGTTGTGCCCTACTTGTCTTTAGTATATCCTAACACTTAACATTCCACAACACAAGGCTTTTCTGTAAATGAGTGTCATGATTGGCCTTAAACATCCCTAACCTGCCCTCAATAATAATAATAATAATAATAATAATAATAATAATACACATGAAATGCTGAGAGGACAAGTGTAAAATCTTGCAAACTGACTTATAAAATGGATACTCTAAGTGTAGATCGGGGATAGCTGGTTTAAACATCTCTGCATGATATACACTTGAGTTGCCTCTAAATCCAATATGCCCTGCCAGGGTGAGAACTAACATTGCTAATTTGATCATGGGCTACCCAAATCCACATAGTGTCAGACCCAAGAGGGGCTGACACACTGGGGAGTTATGAGCAGCTTGTCTTCCTGGGGTATTGCTTAACTTAAGATCCTTCCCAGAGGTCATCTGAGGTAGGGCACAGATGAGGTCCCTCTGGGACCTGGATGGACCTGAGACTTTTGGTTAGCCCACTCCACGGAAGAGGAGTCTCCAAGTAGCCTTGAAGGCTATTTTCCAATGTGTGAAGGGCTGCAGTGTGGCTGCAGTAGGATCCATGCATAAAAAGTTTCAGGAAAGCTCAACAGAAGAAAGTTGGAGCCTGCCAGTACTGCCAACGACCTGCTGCCCAGGTGAACACCTATTCCGGGGGAGCAAGAGCAGTTCGGGGGATATTTGCCTTCAGAGGAAGGGTGCATCTGTCCCTTCCAACTTTGACATTCCAGGATTCTATTTCCCACAGTTTACCCAATTCCTCTCTGAGACTATTTGTGATTTCTGACCTGTATAACTTGACAGTAGAAAGATAACATCTAGTCATCCCACCCCTGACTGATTTCACACTGCTTTAAAGAGCAGCCTTTGAACCCTGACTCATGGCCTGTGATACCTACTTGAAGTACCTTCCTAACAGGTGCCTACAGGAGACCTTCTAAGGTGGCTCTCCTGGAACTGATGGCTCACAGCCCTCAGGTTAGTTGGGACCCTGGCTGCCTGGTGGGCTTCCGCTTGCCCCCTCCGACCCACCCTGCAGGGCCTGAGAGCAGCAGTCCAGTGCCCAGCTCCCTTTCTTGGGTTTCGGGCTCCTTGTGAGTGATGTCTGCATCTGGCTGGAAATTAAAACAACTGTCTGCATTGCATTCGGCCTGTCTGTCAAAACACAGCCCGGCTCTCAGCAGCTGGGAAAGGGGGCCCTGAATAGGAGCAGTGTCTCCAGCAACAAAGCCCACTTTCACGCCAAGTGCCACGGAGATAGTGAAACCCTGTTCTTCTCCAAACATGAAACCAACAGCACAACTATTTTTCCTGTTTCCTGGGCCCTCCTGGTGGGATTTTTTTTTTTTTTTTAATGCACTGAGTTGAAGAGTTAAGTGAAACAGGAAACGTATCAGGGGGAGGGTCCTAAAACTTGAATTATTCTCTCCTCTAAGATCTAATAGCCATGCATAAACCAGAGAAAAGAAATGTCACAGTGACTGGGAGGAGACCCTCAAAGTCAGATGTTCCCATGGGTCTTTCTCTGTCCCTATATTCATGTGTTTCTATGTTCATTCATCAACCCATGCTCATTGATCATGTCCTCCATACAGGCCAGTACTAGACACTTCAGGAGAATAAAAAAAATAGCAGCATTAAAACACAGCCATCACCTTCAAGTTGCAAACAGACTAGCAATAAAAACAAGAAAGTGATGTGTGTTCCAAGAGGGGCATTGAAAGAGGACTGAGGGAATTCAGAGTAAAGAAAAAAAAAATACATTGGTATCAGAGCTATCTAGTATGAGAGCTACTAGCACCATTGAGCATTTGAAGGTAGCAAGTCCTAATTGAGGTAAGCTGTAAGTACACAACATATATTGGGTTCTGAAGATTTCATATGGAAAAGAAAATGAATAAAAGATCACATCCATACTTTGTTATTGGCATATTGAAAGATAACATTTTCTATATATTGGGTTTTAAAAAAATCTACTTCTCCTACTTTTTGAAATTTAGTTGCCAGAAAAGCAAAAATTACACATGTCATTAGTTCATGTTTGTGGCTGGTGATTGATTTCTCTCCTACAGTGCTGCCTCAAAGGCAGAGATCCCAGGACGGCTTCATGAGAGGCCTCACATGCGTCTGGTTACACAATGAAGACTATTTATTTCTACGGTTTATGCAGATTCTAGGAGGAACAAGCCCATAAGCCAACACAGGAGAGCAGAGTTTCTTCAGAAACTTTGTGTGAGGCCAGGGAGCCATGGGTGTGAAACTGGAAGGGCAGGCTTAGGTTCACTTGGGAAGGATGGGGAAGACACAGAGTGGGAATGTGCAATGTCTCTGAGTGCTCCAGCCTGTCACTCCTTGGCCAAAAGAATGTCCTCCATAGACAGGCGGCCTGTGGCTATCCAGGAGCAAAGATTCTCCACGTATGGTCCTTGAACCAGCCCAGCTGCCATCACCTGTGAGCTTATTAGACAAGGAAATCCAGGTCTCAGTTCATCAGAATTGCTGGGCTGGGTCCAGGCAATGGCTTTAAACATCTTTTCCCAGCAGATTTGCAGATGTGCTTAAAGTTTGAGAAGACTGTTAATAGATGACCTCAGCTCCTTGGGGAAGTCTTTTTTAAATGACAGGTCTTGGGCCCAGAAAAAAATAGAATCAAACCTGCCTTGAGGCTCTGGCTGAGAATAGAGAGACTTGCAGTAGGGGGCTGTGTGTGTGTGTGTGTGTGTGTAGGAAAGTGACAGAACTCTTGGGGACCGACCACTGATACCCAGGGAGAAATTGATTTTGCTAACTCTGAGGCTCTGACATCCTCAAAAGATCATGTTCAAGCCTCTGGGGTCAGGGGCAGCCTCACGGTGGCCGATCAGGGGTGGCGCTCTCTTGGGAAGCTCCAGGAGGCCAGAGTGCTTTCTTCTGACAGTGTCGCCTGCACCGGGCGGCAAGCAGTCAGGCTTGGCTTTGTCAGGGCTGATTCCTGGTTAATGGGACACTCCCCTGAGACTTTAATTAGTGTTCATTTATGATTATTGCATTTTAATTATGCTTGAGGCTCCCGTCCCCCCCTCCACCCTGAGTTGACCAGAAGCGGGCTGATGAGAGCCACACAGGGGGGAGGACGCTCTGTGCCCGCCTCCTCTACTGCTGCCACACCAGGACCCCTGGTGCTGTGTGGTGCTGCCTGGAACTGGATTCCACCCTCGCACTCCACATTCTTTTCTGCTTGATCTTATGTCTTGTAATTACGCCTCTAATGAATATAACTGTCCTATTAAGTCATTTACTTAAGAAATACTCTTAATTAAAGGTGACTCATACTGTGCTCTTGACTCCTTTGGCCCCAGGGCCCAGGCGTCACTTCCCTGTGTCTTCTTGGCCTGATTCATTGGGGCTGGAGATCCCTGTGGGAAGGGCACAGCGAGGTGTGCAGAGCGTGGGGGTGGTCTCCACTCCTACCACCACTCCCTGTGCAACACACTGGGCAGCCCAGTACTGTTGGACTGGGGACATGAGATTATGATTGGCCACAGGGACAAGTCA